ATCTACTATAGCTAGCTAGCTACGTACTCTAGTTCAGTTTGCAAGCTAGGAGAGACGGCATATATATGTGCATACTCTTCCCAAGAAAGCCAGTTGAGCCGGTGATGAGTATGCTCTTGCCCTTAGAATACGCTACCATCCTCGCCGCGTCCATGCTATCATACTCGTACATCATCGATCACGTAAGCTTATTGATGATCTCTCTCTCCTGGGCCTAGCTCTACTCTTTGTGTGTGCTAATCTTGCTTCGGGGACGAGAGAGAAGAGATAAGGACGAGTTATGGTGCTGGTGGTACGGATGAAAACGGGACGGGAATTTTCCGTCCCGACCGGCACCGAATGCCGTATTATCCCGACCGGATACCAGATTGTCGGTAACCGAATAAATCCAGCAAAAAACAGGAAAATTTGGCAAGAACCGGGAACGGAATCGGTTGGGCTTGTTCCCCGACCGAATTCACGGATCCTGTTTTTTAACGGGAAATTCCCGTTTTTCCCGTATAAATTTTATTTTGTATTATTACTTCAGCTCTTGTCACAAACCAAGGAGCGCTCCTGTGGCTCTCTGGAGGACGGGAGTCCAATTATTAAAAGCGCCGGCTCCCCCCTCCCCAGCTGGCTCCGCGAGGTGGTATTAAACTTCAGTGTGCGCCTGGTGTACTGGTGTAGTGGTGCTTGCTGCTGCTGTGCGCGCTGGGCCATAATGGGCCGTTACCAAGGTAAAGCGACCTGAGCGCCTGCCTGTTGAGCGCGCTGCGTACGCCGCTAAGGCCATGCATATGCATGTGCATTTTTCTTTTTTTCTTTTTTTTGCTGTGCGCCTGTGCCTACAACATATGCTAAACGATTTGATGCTGCAAGAATCCCTATTGGATGTGATGGACGCAACCGGCCACTTCTGCTTTTTCGTTGAACTCGTAGATAAGCTGAAGTATGCATGTGCGCTTTCCTTTTTTCTTTACAAGTCTCTCATTTAGTTTTTTGAAGTATTTCATGACAATTAAAAAGTTGACTCACTTACTCATGCATGAATATGTGCAACACAAACATAACAAGTCACTAGTGTTCATAAATTGGTGGACTTATTTGTAGTGTTATATACTTACCAACGGTACAATTTGCCTATGTATTATACATGGTTGTAACCTTGGTGTTAAGTTGAATGGTTGAAGTGGTTATGTGCGTCGACGTTCCCGATTTGGATTACCGATTCCCGATCGTTATCGACTTTTCCCCGATCGAAATGTATCGTTTCCGACATCCCGTATTTTCGATTTCGCTTTCCCGACCGGCCTTCCCGTTCCCGTTCCCGTTCCCGCATAAAAAATACAGTAGTGGGAATGGTTAGAGTGTTTTCCCGACCATTCCCGACCGCTTTCATCCCTAGCTGGTGGTCACATAAGCGCATCTATTTATACTCTCTCCGTCCCTAAAAGAATGTAATTCTAGAACAGTGTCACGTTTTAGTATATCAAGTTTGATCAATTATATATAGATATAAAAGTATAATTATTTATAATATAAAATAAATATCATTAGATTAATTATAAAATGTATTTTCATAATAAATTGATTTGGAGCCATAATTGTTAATATTATTTACTGGAAATTTTATTAAACGTGAATTACTAACTTATAGTTACGTCTTTTAGGGACAGGTAGTACACACAGCCAGTCAGTCATTTCGCGGCAGTGTTTCCAGCAGCGTGGTGGGGTACGGACGTACGGTATATTTGGGGGCAACAAATGGAAACGTGGGAGAGGAGGATCGGTGCTCAGGCAGATAGAAGCCGCCCGCATCAACCAATCAACCCAACAGCGACCTCGGTGGTTGGACAGCCGTGTAAAACTAACTAGCACGGCCCAGACATGACACCACCCGATGAGTCGATGACCATCATGCTCCGTACCGGCCTGGTTTGATGGGTGAGTGTCATGGGTTTCGAACCGCGGCGAGCATCGAGTTGTTCGTCAGAGGTCGATGTGTGGCACTCCAGTCGCTTGGAGACTCAAAATATGCTACGACCAGCACTATATTCTTCGTGTTCAGAATGTCCAATCGGGAGTTTCTTACAACAATGGAGTAGAGAGTTCGGAAGAGGATTGTGCGGTGCTATTCTAGGTTCTTGGATTTAGTTTCTAACTCGGGCTGATGATATGATCATTCTATCCCTTCTACAGGAGCCCATATGCATCCCCTTATATACCGAGGAGGGCATGGGTACAAATCAAGTAGGTTCTAACCTAGGGCTTCTCCACCTGGTGCATTCGGTTCCTTCGTCTTGGTGCCGCCAGGTACTCATTTGTCGTGTAGGAGGGGGCGAGCAATGTCACAACCACTCACTGACATCTCTGCTGCAGTCTGGCGCTTGACCATCAAGCTGCAACGCGACCTTCCCTCGGTGAACCTTCTCGGGGCTTCCTTACGCAAGGATCCTCTTCCTGCCTAGAGGGGCTGACGAGCGGGCCTAGAGCCCTCTGCCCCATGGGCTTGGGGAGTCTCTTATCCTGATGCGTCACACCCCTTGTGTGGCCTTGTCGTGGGGGTGGTCGACAGTGCCTCGCGGCTGTGGGACGGGAAGGCGGCGTAGTGCTTCTACGCTTGTCAGGCTCTGAGCGCCTGGTAGATTCTGGAGTTGGTTTTTGGTCTTGGCTCGGGACGTCGGTTGGCCCAGAGCTACGACGCAGGTTGACACCAGGGCAGGAGTTCCGCCCAGGCTCTCCGTCAGTCGAGAACCCCATCGTTGTGGCTGAGTCCCCAAGCCCCGAACGATGGCCGCTTGGCCTGCTCGGGCTTGCCCTTCTAACATCGCATGCCTCCTAGGCATAGGGCGATTTACGGGCTGCTGAGCCATCCTTATTCCACTAGAGGGTACGCGTGAGCGTACCGATGGGTATAACCTCTGAGCCCCCGACCGATTCACAAAGGCGGTCAATCAAATTGATGCCTCCTTCTTAGGGACTTAACATATCTCCTATGTTATACTCTCGTCAATGGGATGTGCCTAGGCTGCTACCTGACACGGTGTGCTAGCACGCGTGGCTCAGCATGACTATTAGCCTACCCGATGCAGCCCGCTAGCTTATAGCATATAATATCGACTTCCATGAACCCTAGCTCCCACATCATGACCCATCCTTCCCACGCCAACTCCTCCCGCATCACCTTCCCTCGGCCTCTGCGCCATTGCTTTCGTAGACCGCAACGATAACCCTTCTCCTTCGAGTAGTCAAGAACCTATAAGACCTTAGTTTGGTTTTGATAATTGAGTGACAACCAGTGGAATAATAGCTTGCTTAAGTGTTGATTAAGCTAGGTCTAGTCCACACTAAGGTGTTGAGCAAGAAGGCAACCATGGAGGAGATGGTGATGGCCAAGATGTGATCAAGTGCTCAACGTGGATGAGAAGGAGAGAGATGGAGTGGGCAGCAAGCCTGAAGGCAAAGGTATATTAATATTGCTTTGCTTTTGTCACGCAAGCTGCAATAGAGTGCACGGTCAGGTTGAGGAAAGACAGCTAGTGCTATTAAAAGGTGAAGTCTAAAGAGATTATAATTATCTAGTGCCACTAGGTGATGTTTAACTATACATGTGCATTAGACCTAGTGACAGGTGAGGAAGCAAGTGAAAATGTTATGTTAATGTTTTAAAAAGTTAATTCTGTGCTTAAGGTGATAGTGTCATGTGCATTGAAGTTATTAGCAATGCATCAAATTAAATAGGTTTTTCACGTGAACCATGATTTTAGTATTATCTAATGTCACTTCCAAAATATTATATTCCTCAATCTACTGCTTAGACACGCTTACAATTTATGACCAGCTGTGTTTATTCAGAAAAAATGAAGAAGGCCAACAAATTAGAGAAAAAAAATGTTATCTGACAGTTGGATCATTGAGACTTTTTTCTGTATGCCATTATAAAAGATCGTAATTCCCTAGGTGTCCCTGAAAAAATTCAGCGGTCTTCAGCGCCACTACTTCAACTTTTTCGTGTCCTCCATGCCACTTCCGTCAGTTTAGGCTCTAACGCCGTCAAGCTGCAGGTGTGAAAAGACGAAAATGCCCTTAAGTTCAAATATGTTATTAATTTTTTTGAGCATCTTAACGACTTCAAATGAAAAAAACTCAAAACTAGAAAGTTGTAGATCTCGTCGAGATCTATAATTTTCATATAAAAATTATTTCCATTTAATTTCGCAAAAAAATATGATTTGATATGATTAATATATCTTAGAAAAATTATATTATTTTTTTACAGAATTAAATGAAAATAATTTTTATATGAAAATTATAGATCTCGACGAGATCTACAACTTTCTAGTTTTGAGTTTTTTCATTTGAAGTCGTTAAGATGCTAAAAAAATTAATAACATATTTGAACTTAAGGGCATTTTCGTCTTTTCACACCTGCAGTTTGACGGCGTTAGAGCCCAAACTGACGGAAGTGGCATGGAGGACACGAAAAAGTTGGAGTTATGGCGCTGAAGACCGCTGAATTTTTTCAGATGCACACAGGGGATTGCGATCTTTTATAATGGCGCACAGGGAAAAGACTCTCATCCCAGGTTAACCATTGGATCAATTGGTTCTGGCCCTATCGGGCCATTTTAGACTTTGAGGTCGGCCTGACCCAATGGATTTACTTTTCAAGACTAGCGGGTCATAGAGACCGTCTGTTGACCCAATAGGTAACATGTGTTTGCAGCATATAACAATCTTTTTTTTCAATTTGTTGATCTACTATATCTTTTTTCGAATAAGCACAGTTGTTCTAGCTTGTACTCCCTCTGTCCGAAAAGACCATTGTTTTAGCTTTGAATCTCGACAAGTTATTATGCATTACCAAGTCAATTTGCAAGATAACGGGACCATTGCACAACAAGATTCACTGCTTACAAAAAAAAAATGATTTACACACACTTCCACCAGAATCATGATGACTATAAAGTTACAAAATTATAGCAGCCTGATTGATCTAAAGAAAGAAACCAAAGAAACTAAGGGACGATGAAGGGGATGACCATCGACAAGAATCCATCATATGTAAGAGTGGCCGAGCCAGTGTAGCGGGTATCCTTCTCCTTGAATTTCTCAGTTAAACCCTGCACACAATGAGCACGTAAAATGAAATATATATCAGTAATTACAACTTGAAATCCTTGATTCACTCCATAGGCTGTAGTATCCAAGCAACAAAACTAACATACCTTCACAATCATCCCACATCTACAAAGAGTAGAAAGATATACCAAGTTAGGTCACATGTGCTCAGCCACTGAAACGTGGGTAAGAATAGAAAGGTTATTTTTCACAACAAATTACTTACTCCACAAAGTTGTCGAAGTCTAGCGCGCCATTGCTAGGCACACCATTGTTGTAATTCGCTATAAGAAGCTCGATGACAGAAGGTGGAACGGCGTATCCAAGGCTACGAAGAGCTTCGGTCAGCTCACGGGAGTCGATTTTGCCACTCCGATCCCTATCGTATCTGTCAAAAATTCCCTAGATGGTGCAATGGAGAAAATCAATAAGCACATCACCAAATTCTGAATCACAGCATATAGATGATACTCCAAATTCCAAAATAAACAAGTCAACAGCAATAATGCTATTTCTCCTTTTGACTTCTTTCATCATTACAATACACATGATTTGAGCGCCAGCTGTGCCATACACAGAAACATGGCCTCCACTCCAATCATGCATAAAATTCTTTGTATAATGAAAGACAAGTTGATAGCCAGTGGTACTTTTTGTATACATCATTTGTTATTGTGTGTGACTTGGATGTAAAAACAGTGTTATACATCACAAATCGGACCAGTGGCACAACGAGAATGTAGCAATTGTGCATTGTGTTTGTAACTGTAATTGTAACTGAACTGAGAAATCCTGCAATACTCACCCGCCATTGCCCAAGGCAATTCCAGAGAGATACAAACTGTGTTGGCCCTGCAACGTGGAAGCAGCATGGGGTCAGTAGCTTGTATATACCATTCTGACAAGGAAAATGTTATAGCTGCTTTGAAGGAAATAAGTAAATGCAACAGAGGTCCTGAATAAAGAGATGAGATGAATGCTACTGTTTTTTCGGAACAGAGATGAATGCTACTAAAAAGTTGCTAACGGGCACAGGCGCAGAAGGATGGTAATCAGAAGCTTTACAGAAACAGAAAGAACAATTCCTCTAAAATAGGAGGGATGGCGTACAGCACCAACTGCTACTTTGTCACCATCACTGAGCATTCATATTATCTGAGAAGAAGCAGCAATATAAGCAACCAGCACCGTGCGATTTCAGGTTTGATGAGCACATAATAAGCTTAATCTTTATATCCAGATTCAAGTTGCACGCTGAAGGGAACGATTAGAAATGAAACAATTCAACTGGCACTGTGCAATCAGGAGAATGATGGGTGTCATGCAGGTAGTACTGGTAATCTGAACCTTTATATTAAGTAATTATGGTAGCGGCATCAGAGTTTGCAGAGGCGAATTAAATCCTTGATGCAACATGGAAGAAGAAAACTAGAGGAGCGATCGATTCGAGGAGCAGGGTAGGGCCGGGCGTTAGTTACCCATCCGTGAGGACGCGGATGAGGAGGAGGGGTCGTTGAAGAGGAACATGAGGAGGCGGACGGTGCTGATGCTGAAGCGGTGGTAGGCGGAGGAGAGCGCCCCCTGCAGCTCGCGCTCGTCGATGGCGCCGCTGCAGTCGCGGTCGGCGGCGCGGAAGGCGCGCTCGACCTCCGGGTGCGTCCCAGGTGGGAACGCGACGGGGACGAAGCCGTAGCCGTAGCCGCCGGAGCCGAATCCGCCCGCCGCCGCCTGCGGGGGCGGCGGAGGGTAGGCGGCGGGCGGGTACCCGCCGTAGGAGGACGAGGAGGGCGGGGCGGCTGAGGTGGTGGCGGGCATGTGCGGCGCCGGCAGGGCTGAGGGCGGTGGCCCTTGGCTATACCCCCCGCCGCCGCCGTAGCTGTAGCTGTGGCCGTAGCGGTTGTAGTCGGCCATGCTACGGGGCGTGGAGAGGGGCGAGAGAGCGAGGTGGCGTGGCGACTTCCTCCCTCCTTGTCGTGCTGGCGGGTGGGTGGGACGGGTGCCGACCAACAGAAACGGGCCTGCTAGAAATGCTCTGCTGGTGGTTCAGGAACGGAGGAATTCAGGAGCAGATGCTGCTCATGCGGCGGTGTGATCTTGTATATATCTCTCATCCACTGCGCGTACGCGTCATGGAACCGACGTGAAGTTTCGGATCCGAGACTTAAAGACGAACCGCGGGAGGAAGGACGAGGAAGAGTGGAAGAAAACACCCGTCATCTTGAGCAGAGCAGGCGTGCGTGAGCGACTTGGCTAAGCAACCGCACCGTCCGTGCCCCAACTGCCGGAACGGAACCTCTTTGTCATCTTCCACGCCGCGTCGCAGCGAGCGTACTGCGTACGGGCTACGCGACTGCTGCGAACAAACGAGTGCGCCGCCGTCGTCGTCAGCCTCCACCACCACCTGAAGGCAGTAGAAAGACTCCGTGGGGTGTTTGGAAACTAAGGAATGATCTTTGCTTTCAGAGTTAGCCTGAAAGAGCTTGAGGAGGTTTTTGAGTTTTGTTGAGTTTTGGCAGCGTAGAGAACTTATTAGTTTTGTTACCCCTAGTGAAAACTTAAACTCAGATTGTGGGCTGGTATCCACATCCCCTATGTTGTTGTAACGTACTGTAACATTCTTATTTTTTGGTAAGGCTAACAAAGGGAAAGAAGGTGAAAACGGCAGCACCCTACGCCCTAGGGTAGTTTAGGTAAGGCTACAATTAAGAATTCAATGTGAGGTTAATTGGAAGAGGGAGCTTTTGAAGGGGTTGTCAAACGGCGTTCTAGATGAACATTGAGCGGATGGCGAGACATCAGGGGTGTAGCCCTCCTAAAGTTGGCAATGAGTATCTGTAACCCAAATATCCCATGAGTTTGTTTCCAATAGAAGATGGGTATGGAATTTAAACCTCACCTCATCAAGGATACTTAAAAGGCAAAACTTATACCCTTGGGTAGAAGGGGATTTTAGTGCATAATATCCATACTCGTCAGCCTACAAATAATGTATATTTGGTCAACCATACATTCATCTCAGTCTATTCGGTCCAAGTTAATGACCCTGGTAGAAAGAATGGAAATGCCTAGACGTAGACGTCTGTCCGTATGGACGTGTCTGCACTCCGCGACATTTCCCCACTTCATGCTCGTCTGTTGCGGCTTCGACGCACCATTCGCCCGCCCCACTCCGTCTCGCCGACATGGCCATCCCCCGCACGCCCCAATCCCACTCCGCGCTGCCTCTGCTCTCTCCATTCTCGCCCTCCCCATCTCTCGCTCTCTCTGTCGTGTCGCTGGCAACAGTAGAGCCACGCACCGCCACTGTTGTCTCCTTCCTCCACCCAAGCCGACCACGCCGCTGAAAGGTCCTAATATGGCTAGAAGGGGGTGAATAGTCTATTTAAAACTCTACAAATCCACTAGAAAAATTTGTTAGTAAACTAAATGGCGAAATACAAACTTGCTCTAACTCTACAAGGGTTGCAAGCCACCTACCCAACAATTCTAGTTGCTACGATCTCTAGTCACACAATAGGCTAAGTTACTACTCACTAAGAGCTCTCAACAAGGCTACACTAAAGAGCTTCACTAGATGAAACTAAGCTACCAAGCAAGCTCTCAAAACTAGCTACACTAAAGAGCTTGCTACACCTAGTTTGCAAGAAAGTAATGGAGTGAGTAGGGTGATTATACCACCGTGTCGAGGAATGAACCAATCATAATATGATGACAACCAATCATCAGGAGAAATCCAATCACACAAGAGACACAAGATTTTTCTCACGTGGTTCACGTGCTTGCCAGCACGCTAATCCCCGTTGTGTCGACCAACACTTGGTGGTTCGACGGCTAAGAGGTGTTGCACAAACCTCGTCCAACAAATGGACATCGCAAGAACCTACCCACAAGTGGGGTAGCTCAATGACACGCGCAATCCAATAGAGTACCTTTTGGCTCTTCGCCGGGAGAAGGTCAAGAACCCGCACAAGCAACCGATCGACGCCGGAGACAATCACCAACTCCGCTGAACGATCATCCAATCACTGGGCCATCTAGGTATCAACAAACACCAAGAGTAACAAGCTCACAACCAGTCCAAAGCTTCCACCTGATGCCACAAGATGATGCAACTCAATGCAATGCACTAGAGGCTCTCCAATCTCCAATCTCACTCAAGATGATGAAATCAAGTGAACAAGTGAGTGCAGTGTGTTGCTCAGCTTCCAAAGGGTGTGCACAAGTGTAAGAGGTGCCAAGAGAGTGGCCAAGGCTGGCCACACCCTCTATTTATAGCCACACAAGCCAATAAAGCCGTTACCCCTTGGAGCTGTTTCTACGAGGGCACCATACACGGGGGTGCCTAGCACCAGATAGGGTGGCGGTGCCCTGCAACAATCGAATTATAATGGCTAAAAACTAGCCGTTGGGGCACCAGACAGGGTGGCGGTGGCACATCATGGGGGTGGCGGTGACCACCTAGCCGAGCCCCCTGAAATTGCAGTCTCTGAAAAAATAGGGCGGTGCACCGCGGTGACCATGGCGGTGACCAGCCCAGTTTGCGCCCGTCTCTGGAGAAAAACGGCGGTGGCATCGGACACCCAGTGACGGTGCACCGCCGCACCCAAGGCGGTTGAAAGCCCTAGTTTCGTTTTGGATAATTGATGAAACCTAGCACTTACCTTTGTCATGAGTTGTGAAATGAGCTAGGTTGGTGCTATCCAAGTGTGGAGCATGGTGATGAAGTCCATGGAGATAGAGATGGACATATGTTGAAGATGATCAAGCTCAACATGAAAAAGAAGAAAGAGAAAAACAAACACCGAGATGATCAAGGCAAAGGTATATGATAGGTTTTTGTTTTGCACTCAAGACGCCATAGAGGGTGTGAGTGACTTAGGATCGACAGCCGTACTATAAAGAGGGGAAATCTTTGGCTAAACGGTTTATCGAGCGCCACTAGGTGACATGACTTTCGCATATGCATTTAGGAACCTAGTGTGCTAACCTTAACCCTTGTAAAATGCTTTGGAAAATGTAACACACGTGCACACAAGTTCTACACATTGTGGTTAGCAAGTTGGAAGCAAGGGTGAATCGGTTGTGGATTTAGAAAAAGAAAAAGAGGAGATGGTCCACGATATGACGCTGGCCGCGGGGTGACCGGACTCACCCCGGCGCGTCCGGTCAATTATAGGTGACGATGCTGCTCTGGCCAAGAGCAAGGTGGAAGGACCAGATGCTGGCTCGGGACCGACCGGCGCGTCCAGTCACAAGTTGAAAGGCGGCGAGTTCACATGATTGGACGCGCAGGAGGAGCGTCAGGTGATTGCTGACGTACGTTAACGTCAGCCTTGCCTACGCGTGCAGAGAAGAGGAGCAGGGATCGGACGCTGGGGCGCTTCAGGTTGCCTCTGACCTGACATGTCCGATAAATAGAAAACACCTCTGGATCGTCTCTAGACTCGACCGGACTTGAGATGGTGGCGCGAGCAGTGCGTCTGGTCAATCATTAACAACGCGAGTGATCAGAGTTTTGTCCGTTGAGATTCGGTGGCTGGGATTTAAACCGTGGACACATGGCGCAGGATCCACGACCGGACACTGGCTCAAGCATGTCCGATCAACCCGACCGGCGCGTCCGGTCAATACGTAGGGCACCCCTCCTTGGCTCTAACGGCTCTATTCATTTGGGGATGTCTATAAATAGTATTTGGCTGGCTCCAAGGCATCTCTGTTGGCCCTTTGACATACTTGACATCCTTGTGAGCCTAAGCAAACACCTCCCAATCATCTCCATCATTGATCCATCATTATAGTGAGATTGGGAGTGATTCCAAGTGCATTTGCTTGAGTGATTGTATCTAGTGGCACATGGGGATCGTTGTGGCTGCGGATTTCTTGTTTATCTTGGTGGTTGCCGCCACCTAGATGGCTTGGAGCAGCGGAGGAGCTTTGGCACGTGTTGGTGATTGTTCGTGGCCAGTTCTAGTGATTGTGAGGGTCTTGCACCTTCTCCGGCGAAGAGCCACAAGGTAGCTCTAGTAAATTGCTTATGTCATTGAGTTACTTCACTTGTGGGTAGGTTCTTACGGTGTCCAATTATGTGGACGAGGTTCGTGCAACACCTCTTAGCCACCGAACCCCCAAGTGTTGGTCGACACAACGGGGACTAGCGTGCCGGCAAGCACGTGAACCTCAGGAGAAAAATTGGTTGTCTCTTGCCCTTTGGTATTCTCCCGATGATTGAATTGGTATTCATCTTGTGATTGGTTCACTCCTCTATGAGGTGGTATAATCACGCTACTCACTCATTTACATTCCCGTAAACTAGTTGTAGCAAGCTCTTTAGTGTAACTAGAATTGAGAGCTTGCTTTGTAGCTTAAGTTCATCTAATGGAGCTCTTTAGTATAGCAAGTGTGAGAGCTCTTAGTGAGTAGTGACTTAGCCAATTGTGTGCCTAGTGATTATAGTAACTAGAATTGTTGGATAGGTGGCTTGCAACCCTTGTAGAGCTAGAGCAAGTTTGCATTTCGCTATTTGTCATACTAATCAAATTGCTCTAGGGATCTTGTAGATTTTTAAATAGGCTATTCACCCCCCTCTGGCCATATTAGGTCCTTTCAAGTGGTATCGGAGCCGTGGTCATCGTTTGATTGAAGGCTTAACAACCTCGGTGTTAAATTATGGCTCAAGTTGTGTTCAACCATGTGGGGGGCAAACCACCGTTCTTTGATGACACGTGCTATGATTATTGCAAGAGAAAGATGAAGATGTATCTTGGTTCAATCAATGATCAAGTATGGGATGTGACCAAGAGTGACTATGCTATCATTGATCCCTATAAGGAAAATAGACCTTAGGCCCATTTAATTTGGATTTTGGTGTTTGATGACCAACACAACCAAATTGGACTAATAAATTTGTAAGT